CGTGCGGGACAAGAAGACCGGCAAGTCCAAGGGCTTCTGCTTCCTGTGCTATGAGGACCAGAGGAGCACCGTCCTGGCTGTGGATAACTTCAATGGCATCAAGGTAAGTGGAGGCGCCGTGGCTCCCTGCTCGGGCGGGCCCCGGGGAACGGGAGCTGCCCGTGACAGCCCGGCCCCGGGGAACGGGAGCTGCCCGTGATAGCCCGGCCCCGGGGAACGGGAGCTGCCCGTGATAGCCCGGCCCCGCAGATCAAGGGCCGGACCATCCGCGTGGACCATGTGGCCAACTACCGGCCCCCCAAGGAGTCCGAGGACTGGGATGAGGTGACCAGAGCCCTCCATGCCAAGGGCTGCGGCGTCAAAACGCCACCTCACACCTCGTCCGACTCCCCGTCTGAGGATGAGGATGTGCCCGTGAAGAAGCAGAAAGGTGAGGAGCGCTCCTGGCAGGCCGGGTCCCAGGTGGGAGTGCCCATGGTAGGGTTTGGGGGCTGGAGTCTGCGTGGAGAGAAGGTTGGAGGAAGAAAAATGGGCACAAAATGAGGTTGGGAGCAAGGTGTTGCTACAGAGTGCTGAGGAGATGCTCAAAAATGAGGGAGAAATAGGAGAGCCAAGAGGGAAGAGTCCTCAAAGGTAATTTGCACAGAGAGGCTCACAGTATTACTGAGGAATGAATGGGAGGTTCTCAGCATTCCGAGTGGTGTGGAAATGCCCAGCCTTGCTGGGAAGAACATGATGTGAGTGATAAAGGGAGAAGTGGGATGGCTGCAGTTGGAGGAGCAGAAGTCATGATTGGAAGTGGACTGGGATCTCCCTGATGGGGAAGCAGACTGGGAAATTGGGTGGAGTGGGAGAACAGTGGAGGAGGAGTTGGGATGGTGCCAGGGGAGCCATGGGGAGCAAGGTGCTCCTGGAATCTGGTGCATCCCAAAATGTGAATGCTAGTTCCAGAGAAGCAGCGGAGCAGAGCAGAGCGGTCAAAGTCGAGCCCACAAGCTGGGAAGCGGGTGAGCACGGAGGAGCCCCATCCCAGGATCAGGATCAAGAAGGAGAAGGAGGACCCCGGGTACGAGCGCTACGCTGGCGGGAGCGGCGACAGGAACGCCGGCAGCAGGACGCAGCGGGACGAGGAGCAGCGGCGGCACCAGCGGCACTCGGACAGGAGGGGGGACAAGAACTGCCACCAGCAGAGGGGCCACAGCGGCTCCTGGGAGGTGCGGGAGAAGAGGGACGAGGCTGGCAGGAGGGGAGACGGGCACAGCAGTCGGCAAGACGCGTCCCCCAGGGGCAGCAAGTCCCGGGAGCCGCACTCCAGGCACAGGGAGCGGGGCTCTGGCAGAGACTCCGGCCGCTGCTGAGCCCTTTGGGGTGAGAGAGGCCCTGGGCCTGCACAAACCCGCTCCGAGCTCCTGGGATGCCACGGCTGGACCTTTCACCTGGGAGCTTCCCCTTGCCTCTCATCCCAGCCTGGGCCAGGGCTCTCCACACTGCCCGTGCTGCTGGATGGGACAGGGGTTTGTCCTTTGACCAGGGAGGGTGTCAAGTGGAGAAGGCTGGGAGCAGCAGGATGCTCCCCTTCCCTGAATCCCTGGGGTGGTGTCCTCCTCTTGCACTGGGGGCAGAGGCTGCTGGGTGTCTTGTCTGGCCTCCTGGGCCAGGTTTGGGCCCTGTGCCCACCCAGCATCTTCTGGATTCCATGATGCATCCACTAGGCTCCACCGCTGTGTCGGGGTGATTTATCACGGATTTGTTTAAAAGTTTTTTAATAAAAGTTCCTGTGGCGGGAGCAGTGTACCTGTCTGTGGGCCAGGGAGGAGGTGTCACCTGTTTGTCTTACACTGATTTTGGGTTTATTTGGCTGGAGAACCGGGAACGCTGGAGTGGGGGATTCACGGGATGGAGAAGAGAGGGGCTTTAGCTGGGTTCGGTTCCTACAACGAGTAATCCCTCCAGTCCGGGTCCGCACCGGTTCCGGAGGGGAGAACCTCCTCCGGAGACACCCGGGGGGCTGCGGTGGGGTTGGGATGGGGGCAGCCCCGGCGGCTTCCGCGGTCCCGGCAAGGGCGGTCCCGGTGTCCCGGTGTCCTGGTCCCGGGGGTCCCGGTGTCTCGGTCCCGGTACTGGCGGTCCCGGTGTCCCGGTCCGGGCGGGGCGGTCCCGCTGCG